CAGGATCCATATGTAATAGCATTTTGTGAATAACCTGACTTTAGTGCAACAGGAGAAGAGGAAGTATCGCTTCTTTCCCTGCACATATTCACATATGGCCTGTGAAAATGTGTGAAAATGCTGAGGGCTTAAATCTCTAGTGAGCTGCAGGCTATGAATGCTCAGAGATCTCTAACTTAAGCAAGCTTATTCCCACTTTCATAATTCCAGCAATTGACATCTCCAGTGCAAGTCCTTTCTCTTGCTAAATATTTAACCCTTCTTCACAAAGGGGACTTAAGGTTTTCATAAAAGAAAGGTCATAAGAACTGTCTTAAATTAAATTTTGTCCCATACACCTGAATTCTCAGAAATGGCAATACAGTTTTTCATTAATACTTCCTAAAAACAGTCAGTTGAAGCCAGGTGTACTTACTACAGGTTGAAGTTAGCCCACCATGGTAAAAAGCTAGCCCAAAGTGGTTTCTTAAAGTAAAGAACAGCTCTGCAGGAAAAGACTGGGCACAGTCAGAGCTGGTAGACACAAAACTGACCATTAGCCAGTTTCCCTTGCACTAGAGAAGGCAAATGTTATTCTGGTCTGCATTAATCAAATGACTGCCAGTAGTCTGAGGGAAAGGATCCTTCCCATCAAACCAGCACTGATGAGGCCATGCCTGGAGACTTGTGTCCAGCTCCAGACTCTCCAGCACACAAGAGAGATGGACATACAAGAGGAGTCCAACAAATGGCCACAGCGATGATGGGGGAACTGGACTGACAGGCTGAGAGGGCCTGGAGAAAGGCAGGCTAGGGGAGATCCTATTAATGTATATAAATACCTGAAGGGAAGGTGCAAAGAAGACACAATCAGGCTCTTTTCAGTGGTGCCCAGCAACAGAATACGAGGAATGTTTGCAGACTGCAACACGGGACGTTCACTCTGGACATTAGGACACTCTGAGGGTGAGTCCTGGAATAGGTTTCCCAGAGAGGTGACTTTCAAAATCTGCCTGGATATGATCCTGGGCAGCTGGCTCTATAGAACCCTGCTTGAATGGGGGGATTGGACAGGATGATGTCTAGAGGTCTCTGCAAACCTTATTCAGACTATGATTCTGTGATTCTAATTGGAAGGGAAGGGTGAAGCAACAGGAAGTTCAATATGTCAGATGATGATGCAAAAAAAGATATACCTCAGTGTAATTTTTTGCCTTGAGTTGACAATATAACTCAAGAATCCATTTGATCTACTACAAATTTAAAAAAAAATCTCTAGTCATTAAAGTAACAGAAGTTTACTTAAACCTTCCACAAGAAGATGAAACTACTTTTGAGTTTGCTCAAATTTAATATTGCCAGCCATAATTAGGTTTATCAATATAATTTTGATAAAATTATATTGATAATAAAAATGCTTCCAAGATTTATTAAAAAACTCACTATAAAATTGCTTTGATGGGTACAAAACTGCTTTCAAGATGGCTGTACATGAAGCAAGTAGGGCATCGTGATGTTTTATCGTGATTTTTAGTGATTTTTGGCTGACTAATTGACCAAGTACCAATAAATACAGTACTTGTATCCTAATATTTTGTCCTCATTTCAGGTTTTTCCTGCAGTCTTGTCTGAAATTGCTCCTGATTGAAGTATTTAGATTCTCTTATTATAATAAGAGTTTTTCAAACCTCACCATATTATAGTAAGAGGATCTAAATTCTTTAATCAGGAGTAATTTCAGAGGAGTGTAGGGAGTGTGTTTTTATTTTCAGTATCTTTGACTGGCTTTATTTTCAAATTTGCCCAGTAAAAGAGGAAGTTATAGTCTTCTCTGGACAATGGAACAAAACTCAGTGGATTTTCACATGGTAAGTATTTTTCTGGGGGAGGATAAAGGTAACTGCTTAATATTATTAAGCATTTGTCATTACATGTAACTGTTTTAAAAAGATGCTCTCTTCTCCATATGACTATTTCCTGACACACGAAACACCACCACTTTACTTCCTTCCACCCTGTAACATGTAACATGTATTGTGGACACAACAAAGGTACACTGTAGCAAGCATAATAATTTAAATACAAAATAGAACAGCATATAGCAAATGTGTAGAAAATCTGCTTACCAATGGCCTACATTTGCTTACACTCCTTCCAGACCTAAACCTGCCCATATCCAATCAGCCCACAGAACACATGTGCACATGCATTTATCCACAAAGCTCATACACGAAATTTTAGGCAGAGTAAAAACTGCAGCTGCTACAATAACTATTATGTGCAATTCAATTTTAGATGCTGGTTTATGTTCTTTTGTTGAGGTATCTGCTATAATCGCAACCACAAATATGAAAAAATAAATCCCTGTGAGAAGAACCATCCTAATAAAAAAACAGTATATTCATTTATAGACCCAAACAAGAAAAAAATTATGAAAGAAAGAAAAGTTGTATCCATTAAAATTAAGAGGAAATTGAAATTATACAGAAACAGTGAACTGAGAATGCAGTAGGAGCACATGTCAACCTAAGCAAATTTGTACTTAATTCCAAAATAGAGCTCGGAAAGAGTTCAGACCTACATTTATTAATAGATGATATTTATCATTACTGAAAAGACACAATTTGATCTAGTTTAAAAATAACAATAACTATTTAAAATAATAATTAAAATAGTAATAACAACAATGCATGATTTGTAGACCCAGTTTATTTCTCCTTAAAAATAATTAAAAAAAACAACTAAAGAAAGAAGGAAAAGTATTGAAAGGATTTAGCATGCTCTTTTGTCCTATACCTGTAAATGTTCAGAGTCAGGCTGCATGGGGCTTTCAGCAGCCTAGCCTGATGGAAGGTGTCCCTGCCCATGTCAGGGTATTTGGAGCCAGATTATACTTAGGTGTCTTTCAATCCAAACCATGCTATGATAATATAGAATGGTATAGAAATATCATCCAAATCATAAATATATGGTCATACTTAGTAAATGAGAAGAATAATTTCTCACCTTAATTTAATCAGAATTCTAAATTAATACATGCAGCATTACACAATTGCAGTTTGTTTTTATATAGAGACACACACACACACACACGTGTATATATATATATACACCTTTTTTGTAATACAGGCACACAGCTGTCTAACCTGTGACTGCTCAGTGAAGCATAATTTTAATCCCCCCTTACTCCACTATCTTGCATTACAAATGCAAGAAAAACAACAGGAGGTTTCCCAAGCTGATTATGTTCTTGCCCTAGGAAAATGCTGTCCATGAGGACAACTGATTTTACTCGCACTATCTGTGTGTAAATTTGAGAATAGAGGCAGGAGGCAGTGCCAAAATGCTATTTCAAGAGTAACACTATCTCAGTAAGTGTAAAACGAAATTGTTGTAACTAAGTATCCAACATATAAGCCAGGGGAAACTAAACTACCTGTCTCAGCTCCCAAGACATTTCACTACATTTCTATCACTCCACAATTTTCAAATGTAAACCTGAATAGTCTGTATTTGCTTGTAAAAAGAAATAAGGAGATATTTCACTTCCTCACAAAGCAGAACAGCTTGCAAGAAAGAGGGAAAGCAGGTGCACAGGGCCAGGATAAACTGGGAGAGAGCAGAGTGCCAAGGGAGATCAGCTCGATCTCAGTCCTGGGAAGAGACTGGAGGCAGGATTAAAGGAAGTGGCAGATGAGTTTTCCATTGCAGGATCACAGCCATTACAACTCTAGTGGCCTATATCAGAAAAGACAGCAGATGTCATTAGAGGCTGGTCTCTGTGGGCCAGTCTGGGCATCCTGAGGATACCAGTGCTACCAAAGCAACATGCAAGCTTTTTCAACAACTTTTCCAGTGACATAGTTCTGATCCAGTCCTGGCCACATGCCTACAGGTGCAGGCTGGCATCACACTTCATCCCTCATGGCACTCCACAGTGCTTTTGAACAGATTCCTTGCATGGAGCCCAAAGTAGTGCAATAACAGAAGGCAAAACAAGCTAACAGAAAAGTTTCTCTATCAAAACTAAAAACTTTACTCAGATCACTAGGCTAACTTGCCTGTGGATGTACAGTTACTGCAGAGGTTCAAGAGAGGATAAAATACATTTCATGAGCACAAAAGGAGACCAAAAATTCAAATAAAGATAATTATGTGTCTAAGTTTATTTCAAGTGACCCTGTATCTTTGGTTTTTGTTTTTGTTTTTTTTTTTTAATTAAGGTGTTGTTTCTTGTTTTCTTGAGAGATTTAAGATATTGCCCTAAACACAAAAATATCATCATTACTGAAATGTGCTTTAAAATATGTTTAAAATTCATCTTTGAAATTTAAGAACAAAATAAAATGGGAACAGTTTTAGAGAGCCAGGTTTACACTTTTTTTTTCCTTAAGGCACAAACAAAGGTGAAAGTGAGTTCATACATTGTCTCCAGAGTGGTAACTGGTGCACCCTCAGTGAGTTTGTATTGTTATTATTATTATTATTATCATTACTTTGTTTTGTTTTGCAGGAGTCTGAAATGAAAGCTGGGCAATGGCAAATTGATGAATAAGCAAAACAAACTACCTGCAAAGCACGTTAGAGGATGTAAATTACACCCAAGGGAAACGCACTGACACGGCCCCGGCTCAGGTCTCGACTTTCGGAAATAAACACCCATGTGAGAAACGCAGGCGGGGACTCTCTAAGTTCCTCTGTATCTTGGAGAGTATTTCCCCGCAATGAAGCAGGCTGAGAACCTCACTCCCGACACTCGGAAAAGCCCAGCAACATCGCAACTTTTATAACGACCCTTCCATCCGCCCTTCCACGGAGCTGGCGGGACGCGCCAGGCTCACGGAGACGCGCGCTCGGCGAGCCCAGCAGCGGGCAGAGTCGCCCGGCTGGGGCAGCCGCGGCAGCTACCTGCCGCCGAGGGGGAGCCGACCGCAGCCGCAGGTGCGGACCTCTCTCCGCCCCAGCGTGGCGGGGGAGCCGCGTCCCGGAGAGGCGGGCGGGCGACCCGCCAGCGCCCTTACCTGTGCGACGGCGAGGAGCCCCAAGGCCAGGGCGAGCGGGGAGGCGGCAGTGGCCCGGCGCTGCCCCGCGGCCATCCTGCTCCCGCGGCGCTCCGGCTGCCTCGGGCCGCCCCTGCGCGCCTCTGCGAGCGGCGCGGGCGCGGCCCCCCGCTGCCGGACGGCGGGGAGGGAAGCGGGGAGCCGCCCACGACGGCCCGCTCCCGCCCCCGAGGGTCCTCCGGGCAGGGGTGCGGACGGAGGGCGGACGGTGCACGCGGGGGCTCGGGAAGCGGTGGGCGGCCTTGGGGACGGGGCTCTCCGGAGAGGACGGAACGCACGGGCGGCCACAGGAGGTGCAAGCAGCGGTGGGGAACTCTGAGAGAGAGGGCGAGGGCGAGGATTCGATGTTTGGGAAGGGATGGGCGTGTGGGCAAGAACGGGGCACGCAGGCAGGCACAGAGCGCGCAGGCTGGAATGGACGTTCCAGGCTGAGGCAGGTGGGGCTGGCGCACACAAGCAGGCATGGGACATGCAGGCATGGGACATGCAGGCATGGGACATGCAGGCATGGGACATGCAGGCATGGGACATGCAGACAGGGGTGGCGTACGCAGGCGGGTACGGGCCATGCAGGCCTGGGTGGTTAAAGCAGGAGCAGGGTATATTGGCAAGGGTGGGACACTGCGGCAAGCACAAGGCAGGCAGGCATAGCCAGTCATTCAGGTGCAGGGTGTGCAGATCCAGGGACGGGCCCCCACCTGCCGTGGTATGCTTTCTTTGACATGATTGCCTACTAAGCATGAGAGAATTTCCAGGATACTAAGCTGAAATGCTGTAGTGCTGACTCCTGCTGCCCACATCTGCCTGGAGGTAAAGGCTGCAGGTGCTTAGCCAGGGGAGCAAAGCCCCTTCATATGGTTAGCTCCCTCAGCTACCTTCAAGCCCTTCACTTAAAGTTCTTGGCTAGTACCTGCAACTTCATCATCTCCATCATTTGACACAACAGTCAAAATGCAAGCTGGGACAAACAAGAATCTGACTAAAATTGTGTTGGCTGCTTGGGAAAAGTTTGTGGCAGCTTTTATAAGTCTCTTGCAAAACCACAAGTTATTGTGCCTGTTAATAACCACTGTCACTGTGCATGTCCCTAAAGTCACCACCATAAGCCTATCTGAATGCTCCCACAGCATTCTCGCCACAGGTATTGAGATATTTGGATAATGCCTGGAAAATGTGCACCTCACTGACTAGCCAAATAAATCATATGGGAAGCAGCATGTGCAGGGACTAAAAACTGCCACATTTCTCTCCATCTTTTATGCATTATGTCAGACATTGTTGACAAAGACTTTGCCCTGTGCAGAGAACGCATGATGAGTTTGTGGCTCAGATCGGCATGAGAAATCATAATAGCTCTTTCACACTGAGATTTATAACCTCTTTCATTTGATAATTCTTTAAAACCTATTAATTATACAACAAACAAACTCCATGGTTAAGATTTTAGAAATGCTCTTTCAAGTACAGCTACTTGAAACATAGTTAAATTGAAAAGTGCTTGATTATATAAGTACATCAGGAATACTCTATGAGTATGTATGACTTCTGATGAACTTCTAGAATTTTGGTTTTCTTTTTACAGACATATGGTTAGAAAAATACATAAACATTGTGCATAAACATTATTGGTTTTAGCAGCATGTAATTATAGAGGTTAAGACTTCTGTAAGTATAGTGTGGTCTAAAGTATGTCATAAACACCACATGATCTGAGCAACAAAATTTGGCTGAACAAAACGTTGTTTTCATGTTTTTGTCATGAAAAAATTTTCATTAATTGGTCAGGAATGAGATGTTTCCAAGTTTCATATTGCAAGTTATGCTTATATTTCAAGAATCAGAAGGACATTTCCTGGCATTTACAACTGTCTGAAGGGCCTGACAGTTCAAGGCAAAACCAAGCTATATGTTAATGGTCAAGAAATGTTTTATCGACAATTGTTACTACTTACATTATGAACTAAGAAATGTTTTATCGACAATTGTTACTACTTACATTATGAACTATCTGTTGTTTGCATATAAAAAGCAAGACTTCTCTATTCTCACACCAAATTTATAGCAACAATGTTGGAACTGTACCATTGTTGTCTAATAGCTCTGTAACAGTTGTATGTACAAGAGCAGAGTTGTAAATTACTAGGTAGTGAGGGAAGGAGAGAGAGTTTTCTGAAAGTACCTTCCTGCTCAAATGGACTTGAAGGAATTTAATAAATCTATGTTTAAACAGAAAAAAAATTAACAGTACTTACAAAAGTAAGTACGGTTACTCTTCTGTGAGATTCAAAATATTGCTAAGTGCAATATAGCAAGTCCATACTATCATCAGCTCAGGGCTCTTGGTTACTCTTCTGTGAGATTCACAACAATATTGCTAAGTGCAATATAGCAAGTCCATACTATCATCAGCTCAGGGCTCTGAGAAGACTTAGGAAAATTAAGATCTATTAAGAACTAAGCAAATATCAAGGGTTCATGTGTAGGGAGAGAATTGCTCTCCTTGTTCAGAAAAACAAAACAACAACTTTGTTTAACAACAACAAAGTTTAACAACTTTGAAGACACTTTCAGTATTAGCCAGAAGATTACATGCTTAGCAAGAATAAGTTTTTCTCCATATTTAGAATCCAGGCAGGCTACATCTGTAGAAAATTTAACTTTTTTCCTCCCAGCAGCATTGCCTTAGTATGACATACAAAATAAGATTGTCCTGTGTCTCTTTCTCTTTTCTATATAAACAGGTTGTTTCCTGCTGAAATGGAAATGCATTTTTAAATACAGACTTGCAGCACTAAATTCAGGTAGAGCCTCTGACCTCATGATAAGTTAATGTTCAATTTAGCACTTTGGGCTTTAGGCATTTTCTTCCATTGGTCTCAGAATTACACAACATATTTGGCCAAAATTCACCTCTACAACAGTGATGTGCCATTGTTCTCCATACTGTACAAAATTAATTCCAGGGGTTTGAGTTTTGCTTCAGCTCGGAAACTACAAAGGCAATGACAATTCCATTTAGATATTCAGTTCCCACTTACATGCTTTTGTAACTAGAGCTTGCATCAGTAAGATAATGTTGTAAGTACACAATCCTTTCCCAGATGTAGAAAGTTGTGATAATTTGATCGTGCTTAGATGGCTGAGAGATTATGAATGTGGGAGCCTTCAGGTGTCTCACAGGGTAGGTAGGCTCTTCATTCGTGTATGTCAGCCATTGCTCAGTGTACGTAGTGAAGGGCCCAAAGTTTTTTTCAAGGAATATAGAAAATGTGAGTACAAGTTTTCCTTTCTTATCCTCTCCTGCTTGCAAATGACACAATGATTTTCAGCTTGTTTTTTTTTTTTTTTGTGTTTTATTTTATTCCACAGAAAGATTTAGCATAGGTAGAGATTCCTTTTCTTCTATATTTTAACTATATACTATTCAAAAGAAGTAATAAGTAGCAAGCCCATTTTTTTAAAATAATTAATATCTGGCATGAATTGAACCCTTAAAATTAAATAAATAATAACCACTGGAAAAAGCAGTTTATGCAGAAAAAAGCAATGTTTGAAGAATCAAATGTGTTAGTGAGCAAAAAAATCCCATTTTTGAAAAGCTAATAATTTTCCTTAGAACAAGCAGTTTTAATAGTGTATTCCATCCCAGACAGTGAAGTTGAAGGAGATTCAATCTCTAGAAATGTACTTTACTATAAATGACTAAAACAGTGAAGCAAACAGAAAAACTACAATCCCATGCGTGTGCTCCCCTCCCCTGTCCTTTGCCACTTTCCGTTTCCTCAGACAAACAAAGCATTTTGTTGGCTATTGTGTATGCATTAATCACATTTCACCTGTTGGCAACTGAGCAGGCAATCACCTTTTAACTATAGCTGCATTTATTGTGATCTGTCTTTCAAGACACTGAGCCAGAAACAGCTGGTCATTCCATAAAATGATGTTTCAAGGTCTTCAGAATCCATTTCAGTGTGACAAAATATAGTGAATTAGTAAAACAAAAAAAAAAAATCCAAAGAATCAGCATAGTAGAAGGAAAAAAGATAAAATTAACAATATGCATATTTAAACATTAAAATTACTTTGTGGATAAAAACAACATCATACCTGTACAGAAGTAGAAACATATAGATGGGTTTATCTTTCTGCATTGAAAGTTTACCAGAAGCAGTTCAGAGATAGAAAAGCCACACTGAAACAAACTAATTGGATGAAGTGTTTAAGTGCTTAGAACGCTTAATCCTTTGATTTAGGTTTGTTCAAAACTCAGTGTGTGACAGCATTATTTTTTTTCTCTTTTTATAAAAAAATGTATCACAAATTGTTAAAAACTTAAGCAATACAAGGCAATTTCAGAATTTTTGTGGGGGAGGGGTGTGTGTTTTGAATACTTGCTTGTTTCATGGAAGAAAACCTGTTCTTTATATAAGAGCTCCCAGCAGAGACTGCATCTAAAACACTTAACATTCCAAAGTATAATAACACATATAAACTCTGAAGGGTGAGGCTTTCTGGGTGAGGCTTAACTAGCCATACAAGACCTAGGATTAACCACGATAAAAAGTTCCTGAAATTGTCATAGAGTGTTTAAAGACCTTCTCAAAGAACTTACCATGTACTGTTCCCCAAGGATACGCAATAGATAGTTAAAATACAGAGACATAATATTTGTGGAACAGAAACACTGATACAGAAATTATTTCTGTTTCCCTTAACACCTCATATCTAGCTCAGAAATCTCTGTACTGAATCTGCCATCCTTAGTGACTTCTCAAATGCTGGAGGAAGAGCCAGGAGATAGCAAAACTCTGTCACCTGCTTCCACTTCCATGAGTCTTTTCAATAAATTTAATTATGCAGAAAAGGGGATGGGAGCAGAACACAGCCATCAGCATTTGCATATGCACTGTCAGGAGCAGCAGAAACAGATATTCACCTTCTTGCCCACCAATAAATGACACTTGTGATGCAGACTTCAGTATTTTAGCACAGTACTTATCCTCTACAGTACTTTGTTCACACAGGAGCTATTAGGTAGTTATGCATTCCATTCCCACAAGCCATTTTCAATTGCAGTAGAATGG